GCAATGGCTTCTAACCAAGAGTCAAGGCCTGTTGATGAGAGACAGTATTTCAGAAGATATGGATTAACAAGTTCTGATGAACTCCACAGTACCCAAACCACAAAAACCACAATTCAAGTCAGGGATAACTGCAGAAATATTGGGAACCTAGTCATTGCCTTTCACAGTTTAAATAAAAAACTCAATTGCTTACCTATATACCAAGTCAAAAGTGCTCCTCAATAGTTAAGTATATAAATCTCCTTTACACTGTCAGTGGATTATCTAATCTGTCAGAATATTATTTTTTCTTACATTTTATGTAAGAAAAACATTTTATGTTTTATTTTGGTGAACGTGAGTCAAAAACCAACTTAGAATACAAATAATCAGAACAAATAGTAAAAAAAAAATCTAAGCAGCTCAGTAGAAATATAATTTTGCTGGAAAGCTTAAGTAGTAACAGTGGGGAAGTAAGAGTTCTAATTACTCAAACAAATTTGATTTTATTCCTTTAATTTTCAACTATCAGAAGTATTTCAAGTGTTTGTATGGCCATCATCCTAGTATTTTTCTGCATGCAGATCAGATTAACCTTTTTCCAACAGATACTGCATACTGTGTTTATCTTTAATGGCATCCAGAATGGCTAGATATTTCCTTTCTTGAAACCAGGGCTGCTTTGAACTACATGTTAGAAAATATACTCCTTTTATGTCATTCATTACTTGCATTATTAAATAAAGTCAGTCAGATGGGATAAATAAGACAGACTCTGCTCCAACAACTCAAAGTATGAGGACGAAAGAGAACAGATGGATAAAGGAAGAGTGGGGAGCACAAGGAAGCAGTGAAAACTATTTTGGTTAAGGTGGTAGGAGGATATGTGTCAATCTAGCTATATTTGTAGGATAATTTTAAAAACAAATTCAAAGGAAGTAGCCTGTTGGATGTTTACAGAGAGCCTTTGGGACACCATGACAAAAAGCATGACGAGGGGTGAAAACCCATCAGGCACTGGAAACTCTTGCTAACAAATGAGCAAACACAAGAAAAGTGAAAGCAGCTCAGTCCTGATGCACAATGAGGAAAAAAGTATAAAAATCCATCCACGGATAGACATCATCAAAACAACAGCCAGGAAAATGACATGCATAAGGCAAAACTATGATGGTCAAATGCAGAGAAAGGATAGTGGAGCTGAGATCCCAGAAAATAAGAATCTGAACAAGAATTCTGGCTGCACAGATGCCTAGGGAAGGTTATGTCTATAAAACCATATGGAAAGAAATATGTATTTTTTTTATGAATCTGAACTCTTAAAAAGGAATTCATCCTTAGTTTGAGCAAACAGGGCTGAAATACACATTTATGAATCATATTAACACTAAACTGACACTGCTAGAGCTCTATACAATAACTTCATTTTCTGAATTAAAACAGAAACCTCAGAGACCATTCCTTGCAGGTATTGTCTAGGCCATCTTTTCCCCTACACTCATAAATTTACCCTTATTGATTCTATATTTCCCAAGATTATAGAAGCATAGAATGGTTTGGGTTTGAAGGGATTTTAAAGAACATCCAGATCCAAACCCTCTGCCATGCACAGAAACACCTTCCACCACACCAGGTTGCTCAAAAATCCTCCAATCAAATCTACATTTGATTAAGTTCAGTAGTTCTTCGACACCAGCAAGTTGTGTCTGGTAATTATTGTCCCCATAATTAATGAATATCTTCTGAGCTTCCACTGCTGAACACCAAAATGAATTCCTAAGTCATGGTTCTCTCTTTTAACCATGGATGAGCTCAGGCAGTATTTGAATTATAAAGCAAAAAATGCAAGAGAAAATTCAAAAGAGGAGTTCAGGAATTATGTGATTTGGGTACAAAGGAGGCTAAAAATGGGGTAAAGTGACCTGGACATTCAAATTCTTTACTCTAGCAAAGATACAGGAGCATTTACATCTCTAAGAGATTCAGGCAATGGACCAGATTATCTTCAAATTCCCTTTAGCACTTAGATTCTATTTTCTTTCAGCATCTTTAACTGGCTTAATAGCAACAAAATAAATGGAACTGCAGTCATCTTGAAGTTATGTGGAGTTTTTTCTTAATTCTGAAAAGAAGAAAAGTACACTGGGAAGTAAAGCAATATCACATTCCCAGATCTTTTCATTATTCATGTATCTAAATTACTTTCAATAACTATTTAACAAAGAACTGAATATGTTGAGCTGAAATGAATATGCTGATATGAAGAAAACAGAGAGGTTTTTAATATGGTTTAATTTTAAAGAACCAAAATTAGGAGAGATGTTTATAGTTAAATGGTCTCAGAGAACATTAATAGCAAAAAACCTGAATTCTGAAAATAGCCATCTTATTAATTGTATCTTTGCTTATCCAAAAGGCTATCAATCAAGGAAATAGTCAGCATAGTCTGCATTTATTTTCAAATTAGGTCTGAATTCTATAGGAGGTCAAACGTTTTATTATTAAACTTAAGATAGAAAATAGTTCAATAGAGTGAATCCACTTTGCCTATTTAACAAAATTCTCTTACAAGTCGGGTTATGACAACAAAAATTTACTTCTTATTGGCAGCTTGTGTACTTCTTATTTCAGCAGCTTTTTCACTCTTTGAGCCACAAAGAAAACAAAAAGGCCCAGAGAAAGGCATGATTTTGCTTTCTTCTTATCAAGAAACTACATAGGAAAATGTATAATCTTTTACTTGTAATTAGAGTAGCATCTACTGAAATCATGAGATCATTCACTCATAAGATAATCTTCAAAACCCATTGATACTAATAGGAAATTCAGTTCAGCCCATTCATTTAAAAAATGCCTTGACCCTGCAGGGCTAAAGCTGCCCTAAATAGCAGGATCTATTACATAATCCATACTTAGGCTTATGTCACCATGCTGGAGGGTTCTCATTTGAAGGAGATCAAAATCTCCACTATTTAGCATAGGCTTTAAGTTTTTAGCATTCTTAAACAAAGGAAACCTGGACCCAACTGTCCCCATTGTAAAATAAGGTGGTAAGACTCAAGAAAGTCAGACATATGGAAGTTTACAGGAATGCATATAAGCTAGTAGCAAGCAATCTTTTCTGAAGAGCAACAATTCTAAATACTGACATTCAGGCAACTAGCTTTTGCCTTACCTCTAACCAAGGATCTAAACTGCTTAAGACACTGGTGACACTAAAAAACTAATAGCACATTATCACCACATAAATGGGAGGTGATTTAAGAAGCAAGCAAAAACATCTACCAGGCAACGTCCTTACAACAACACAATACATTTTGTGTTTGGTACTGCTGTGGTTTAACCCCAGCCAGCAACCAAGTACTGCACATTTGCTCACTCCTCCTGGATGGGATGGGGGAGAGAATCGGAAGAGAAGAAGTGAGAAAACTCGTGGGTTGAGATAAAGACAGTTTAATGGGTAAAGCAAAAGACATGCACACAAGCAAAGCAAAACATCATCCTGTGTAAGCAGTGCTCAGCAGTAACAGAAACATCTCTGGATTATCAGCCCCATTTTAAAGCACGGCTCTGTAGCACAGTCTCATACCTGCAACTAGGAAGAAAAAATAACTATCTCAGCCAAAACCACCACAGTATTTTAGATAAATCTCTGCGTCTATCAATAAGATATGTGAAATAATACTTTGTCACTCATGGTATTTATGTTTGGTAATTTATGTTCGGTATTTATATTTGACAACTTGAAATAAATATGGCAACTTGAAATTTTCAGGGATTTGACAGTTCTGTGGTTTGACTGAAGTTCACAGTGTCTGAGGAGTACATGCTGTGAATCAACGGGAGATTTAGAAATTCTGAGTGGGTAAACGTTCCTTGCTGCTGGTCTGAGATGGAAGTCACTGTTAGTAGGAGAGAGTTTGTAAAGGAAGGTTGAGGGTGTAAGTGTATTATTTTTTTTCTTTTTGGGGAAAAGGAACAAAGCAAAGAGACTGGAATTTGTAGGAGAGTGGAGAAGCAAATCAAAGAATGGAAGAAAATCATGGAAGATAATGGGATCTGCAGGATGCTAAATATCAGGTAGATAAAAATGTATTTGTATATAAAAAGCTTTTGTTCCAATTGAGTCATGCAAAACAGGGCTGTAAATTCATTGGCTGAGCCTTTGGCAGCATTCCTGTTTCTGATGCAAAATGTGATGCATCACTTTGAGCAAATTTGTAACATTATTTATAAAACAGAAGGTCGAAAGAAAACAATCACATTTAAACAGCTAGGTCAGACTGCTATCAAAACAAGCAGGAAACCTTCAAAACTCAGTTGTGTCCAAATGAGAAAACTGTTACAAAATATCATGTTAAAAAAGGGTCAGCTTGTGAAGGGGTCAAGAAGTAGTTATACCATCTACTTCAAATATTTATCAGATCCAGGAAACCTTTCAGAAAACTTGCGGGAACAACACAGAACCAGAGGGCATCCACCCGACAGATGTAGAGAAATTCAGGAACCAAACATCTGACCTTCTGTCACATAATTACCAGAAGGCAATGTTCTTCTGACAATTCAAGCTTCACAAAGGCTCTTGAAGACATTGGGCTACCACAACAAAAGAAGAAAAGTTCTCACATAGAGAAAGAGGAGCAAATGGTTAAAAAATTTCAGTGTGAAGAAAGATCATTGTCTTTGTTTCCTGTGATGTTGTGTTTTCATTTGTGGAAATGACTATACAGACAAGCTACTGTCCATGTATAAAATACTTGCAATTTCCAAATTCAAGATGTAATTCTATGAATCTTTGATTTCTATTATTTGAAATGTCTTTTCACTCCTACTGGATGTACCTAAATTACAGTAATCCCTTCTTTTTTTGTGTATGAGGTTTTTTTGTTCTTTGGTTGTTAGGTTTTGGTTGTCTGGGTTTGGGTTTTTTTGCTACAATTGGATACTGATTATAAGTTTTGGAAAATAAAAAAAATGCAGTAAGCTCTGTATAATATTTTTTAAAAGCAGCTTGTACTTACCTGCTTTCTGACACTGTACTATCTTCTCATATAAGCTATCTGTATTTTCAACCAGAATCCTAATGGTGTGAATCATCTGTAGAGAAAATAAATTAAAATATGCAGAATATCAGTAAAATTAAATTTTTACTCTAAAATTTTCACCTGCAAACGATGCTTAAAATTGAACTCATATCGATAAATTAATATTTATCATTAACATAATGAATACACTCGTTTTCCTCGTCCCAACGAGGCAGAGAAGTGCCCTAAACGTAGCATAAAGGCATAAAAACGTTGCATAAAGGCATTTTGGGCTGACATCTGTGAATACTGAAGCAAAATGTCTACTCCATAGTTCACTGCCTACCAAAGCAACTGGAAATGATACAACCAGGCAATCACTTTTGGTGGCGTGGGTGAAGTAACCTGGATGCAATTTTCCTCCTCCTCATTCCCTCCAACACTCAGGATGATGACACTCATGACCCAGTGCATAATTTTTTCCTAGGCATCATTCCATTGCTTTTCCAGCAATTTTTCCTCTACATTTTCCCTTTTGTGGCTTGTCCTGTACATATGCATTAGACAATGCTTTATGGAGGAAAACAAACCACTTGAGGCTGGTAGAGGAGGATAAGAAAATAAATTATTCCTTTAGCTGGTCTTTCTAAACAAAAAGCCTTTCAGGGAAGCCCGGCTGAATGCACAGTTACTAAGATGAAACTGTGCAGAATTTTCAGCCTAGGATATGTACTAAGAAGTAACAACTTTGTTTCACACTTTACCCACTGAAGTCTCTTGGTATCCACTCAAGCAGACAATTTTCTCTCTACTAAAACAATGACTAAACTTTTGACATGTTACTTATGTGGGTGTTCATGTGGAACTTGCTTTTCCTTAGGAGACCACAATTTGCTTTTATGAGCAGGAACATTCCATGTTAGAGGGAAAAAACAAGCCCAAACCTCTCTAACACTCCTCCTCAGAGAAAAATTACTGTAAGAGGCATGACTTCTTCACACATATTAGAAGGAGCCTTCCCCAGCTGAATGACATTGAGGCTATTTTTCTGAACATTGCTCCAAATAAGGCATAAATCAATTCTGAGAAGCAGGTAAGCAAGTCTCAGATTTTTGATCATGACAAGTGTGCAAGCAAGTGAGGAGGAAAATCACCTGCACAGACAAGCTGCTCTACAAGCTTCTGTAACTGTCAGCTGCACAAAAATCTGGTTTAAACAAATGACAAAGCATTTAAAAATAATTCTATTTCTATTATTTCAGTTTGAATCAACACAGAAAATGATGCAAACCTTGAAATTTTTAGTTCATGCTACACAAAACAGCATGTGAATAAGCAACTTTAGAGTATATGTGGAGGTCATAATACTGGATAATTTAACTTAATCCTCACATCCCAATTAATCTCCATTTAAAGTATCTGCTTAACCTAAATTATATTACGTCAGTCATCGGGGTTGTTCTAAATAAATATAAATTATAATATATGAAGGAAAAGTAACTTGATCACGTTGCTAAGGTTCAAGTGAAAAATCAGCTTACCCCATTTTTAACTGGATTGTTCTTTGAATTTAAATATCAATTTTCACTCAAGCAAAAACTACCTATAAATAGAATTATGCTGATTACTATTTAAGTGTGACAAATTGAAGACAATTTAAGTAAGAGAATATTATATTTCACCCACATAGGGAGCACTGCAAACTGACTATCCCTGCTTGGTCAAGGAGAAAGCCCCATTTCACTGTGTTTCCTTACTACTCAGTCTCCAAAACAGAATTCACAAATTGAAATAAGATCACTATAAATTTGCTTGACAGGCAAGGATATACCTGTTTCAATATGGATGTCACGTAACACATTTGTTTCTGCAATGAACTTAAATGGAGAGAACCAAAACACAGCTGATGTCATCTGTATGCTTCCAGTAGCTGATGCCATTTTGCTAACTAACTGAAAAGGAACTGTAAAGCAGGTTTCTCTGAATAAAAAATTACCTTGAGAAATGAAATGTTGAGCATTTCTGGAATGCTAATACACAGTAATAAGGACTAGAGAGGAATTCTCTATCAATATGAGTCCTTTCACCTGAGCACTGTTTTGACTGGAGTTCATAAAAAAAAAAGAGAACTGTGATGCCTGATCAAGATATTTGTTTTGAAGGAATTGTAGGAAATATTACAACTGCCCTACTCTGTTTTCCTGATCCCATATATACAATAACAATTTCGAAGTCATCTCAGTTAGGTCCTATTCCAGACACAGAACATATCCATCTGCTCTGCTTCCTTCATATGCCCTATATCAGATAATTTAGAAGCAGTGGATAACAAGTCTCAGCTGATTAGAAAACTTAATCTGAGACACTGCACTGATTTTCAGAAATAAGAGAATTCTAATATGAATAAAAATGCTTACATTACTGCTTTTTTGCTTACGTTCTGTATTGACAAAACAAGAAAGTTTTACTAGTTCTGCAGATGAAAGGAAAATAAACTAAAGTGTCCTTTCATCATGGTCAGGCTAACATTGAAGAATTCAAAATAACACACAAATTTCATATGTCACAGTTCCAGTATGGAAAGCTGCTAAATACCCTCAGATCAAAAGGAATGCCCTCGTTGCAACTTCTGAAGAAAACTGGCAATGCATTTGATGTGGCAGAAATTATTCTTATATCCACTTTTATATTATCAAGACCAGTTACTCTCATTATCTTTGGTCTCTAAAGTACATACAAAGCTGTATTTAAGATTAACAGCCCTGCAGAGCAGAACTGGCTGAGCTAGCAATAATTCAGGGGTTGACTGCCACTACCATTCAATCAATATTGTAGAAAAACCCAATTTTCGAATGTCCTTCCCTAAGAAAATAATGGAGTAGTATGCTGAGTGTATGAGTAGGTGTCACCTTCTAGTTGTGCTTGATTAATGAAGTAATAGTATTAGTTCATCATAATTTTATTCTCATTCTTTGCTCTTCACCACACAGTCACTTTTAGTATGTATTCAGCTATTTGTTAAATTACTCTTACGGAGTGTTTGAACATATGAATCTTTCTAGTGTTCAAGCCAAAATTATAACCTCATGAAAACACTCATGTAGACATCCACAGAGACTGAAAGACTTTTAGTAGACACAGCATATGGAAGAACTATGTATAAATGGCTATATTTAAACAGAAAATTAGCCTAATCCAAGTGATACTGGTATGTATATATGTGATTGATATAAAAGTGAAATAGAAAATGATGAGTAAGCAGGAGCTTCAGTGTGAAAAACACTATGTCTGTAGCAGAGTAAGACAAGGAAATCTCAAGGCAAATTAGTGGTGGAAATTGAGGAGAAAGACCAGGTAGAATCTGCTCTACACTAAGCTAGTCTATACTGAACAAGCCGATCAATAAGCAGGTATTTTCTAACCATGTCCAACTTCTAGAATATTAACAGTGACAAATTTGGAAAGAAAAACAGGAACAAATGTAATAGGGAAAAACCAGGTCATCACCACCTGATCATTAAAAATATATTGCAAATTACCCATCCATATTCAAGAAAAGAACATGTTACATGAAGTTTAGAATCTTCTAGCAAGCCTTTTACAATACTGATTCACATTTCTAACCGACGCTGCTTTTTTTCTGGAAGCAAAGATTCAAAATGTCCAAAAATGCATTTTAAATATAGAACTTATAAGATATAACGCTGAAATTGCTTCAACTCTCCTTTCAATTCCCACCCCACCACCACACTCTAATCTTAGCAGGACCAGAGAACTTCTCAGGTACTCATTACAGATTGGACTATCCTACTTCTTTTGTTGGTCAGTGGAAAATGGGAAATGCAGAATGGTATGCTAAATGTGCCTTGAAGTCATCACATTTTTACAGAGGCCAGAATGACAGTTTGATCTATTTGTTATATTTTTCAAACTCTGTTGCTTAAATCATGCAAGCATTTTACCTAGTTATTCTAACGATTTGACAAATGTCAAGAAATACATTTTAAAAATTAAATTATTATTATGGAGGGTCAGAAATAAACACTAAATGATTAGTCCAGAATTCTCAATGAGGATTGGAGACCTGCATTATTATATATATTGTTCCTACATTAAAAAGCCAGTGATGATGATCAGAAATCACAATTGTTGTTCAAACTGATAGAACTGCATTGTAAAGAGTTCATCACTTAAGTGATGCTGTCCTCACAAACCAAATTCGAAACTCATGTACTGACAAAAATCTATCCTCCTTCTCAGCAAAGCAGAACTCTCTCATTAAGATGGTTACTTAAAACTAAATATGTCAATGTCTAGACTATCCTTTAAGACTTTTTTTAATGTTTCAAAGTTTGTTGTCTGATTTGTTGTTTTACGAAAGAGTTGCGCGCTATGAACTCACAACATGTAGACCAATGCAAGTGCTCACATGTATGTACACATGCATGTATTTGAAACCATTTTTTAAATTTCAGATGAATTTGAACAAGATCTGTTTCTACTAGGCTCACACAGACAGGTCTTCTAATAGAAGATAAAACATTCTGTTTATGCCCTCACTTGTGGAAAACATGTAACTGAACTTAACTGTAAATATTTTAAATATCACATTTAACATAGGCCTTGGGAAAGAAATCTTTCAAAAACCCCAAGATTTATCCTCAGTTCATCTGCATGTGGAACTGGTTGGTAGCATACAGGCTGCATTTTAAAATGGAAAAATCAACCAAAAAATCAAAATAAACTGTGTCTGGCTGATGAAACTCAGTGAGAGAAAACACTTTCACTGACAGAACTGCAACATCAAGGATGAACATTAATTTTAGCAAGAAAAGCACACCACACATTTAGATTTCAAAATCTGTAAATGTGTTGCCAATACTCTTAGACCTATATTCCAACAGCAAAACTGAAACCATACTTACAGCAGGTATAAATCAAATCATCATTAAAATGGTGCTCACATTCTACTTTCATCCAAACTTCTGCATATTAGATATATTTCTGAAATCACAAACTACAGAAACTACATTTCTAATAAATGTATGTATCCGTAGTATTCAGAAGCTAAACTGGAGCTCTTATCAACAGTACTAAACATGTAATTTGCATTTTCCAGACATTTTATTAAGCCCAGGATGGTATTAATAGCACCAATAGCAAACAACACTTCACAAAAGTAGGAAACCTAACACAGGGCATCCCAAACTGCTAGTAGCATCTGCACCATTTCAAAAGATGTGTTACACAGTGAGGATCAGAAGCTGC